AGGCTTGTCCATGTTTTCATGCTATGATAGAATAGAATAGAATAGAACAGAACAGAACAGAACAGAACAGAACAGAACAGAACAGAATAGAATAGAATAGAATAGAATAGAATAGAATACTTTATTGGCCAAGTGTGATTTGGCTAAGGAATTTGTCTTGGTGTAAATACTCTCAGTATACATAAAGAAAAGATACATTCGTTAAGAATCATGATATGGAAGTGGTTGTTTTTGCTTTTTTCTGAGATATATTTAAGTTTTCTTGTCCTGACTATTACACTAGTCTTCCTTCCTTCCTTTCTAGATTAGCCATTCCACACACATTTTTTTTTGACAACATTCTAGAATTGGCTTGCCACTGTCACTGTTTTCTTCAGGGATGTGTAACTCTCAATAGTAGTAGTAGTTGGTAGTTTCCCATTCAAAGAATAGCTTTCTAATACTGATATTTCTTAGAAATCCATTTCTTCTACCATGAGCAAAATATCAGGTCCACACATGAAAGTCCAATTAAACTGATTTATTGTTACTCATGCCTATGTACAGGAATATTCTGAAGTAACAGTTAGCATCTGTTAGGAGTTAGATAAGAGTCAACAGAAATTCAAGTGAGTGAGTGAGTGGGTGGGTTAGACTTGGTCCACTTGTGGCTAAATACGGATTCCAGACCACTCTCTCTTTTAATTCCACCCCCAGGTTCTACATCTTCTGAGCATCCATGGTTCTGTGCATTTCTAACTACCACAGATAGCACCATGTACTATCTATCTTACATGTGAGATTCTTCTGAGAGCCCTGCATATTTCATTTGTAAGTGAGGAGAGGCAACCCAGGGATTTCTGTGTCATTCTAAGTGTCCCAACTGGGTCTGCCTCACTTGTGAAGTTGAAGAGAGATGGGTATGGGGGCACAGGGGCTTTGCTTAAAACAATCACTTCCCCAGTCCTCTCCCCCTAAACAAAAGCAAAAGTGAACAATCCAAATGTTTTGTTTCCAATGTTTTAATTGGCCATATTCAAAATGAGAGCCATTCCATGAGAACAGTTGCCACAGGCTCTCAATAGTCTAGATAGGCCAGAAACTGGCTCAAACAGATTGGTTGATCCTGCCATACACCCATGACTGTGCATTTCTAAGCCTACAAAATTTAATTGATAGATTAATCAGCTAAAATTTATTTGATATTAGCCAACTATTACTAATGAGGAACAATTTAATTGATGAGACAGAAAGTGGAAGAATATTTTTGGGCCTGGTCTTACTTCAAACAGTTGCTCAGATCTATTAATTATTAAATTAATTTGTTTTTCACCATCTCAAAATAATACCTACATTATTCTTACAGGAAATTGAAATAACTGAATTAATTAATTAAATTGAAATTGTTTTATTTAATTATTGTCCATGTTTTATTTTCTTCTAATTTTGGGTTAAAAATAATTAGAATACATCTGTCATGGTGATCAGCAAAGAAGAGGCCATAATTTCAAACCACTTGGTCTGTGAGATGTCTGGAGATTCTATTGCAGCAATTGGTGAAAAATTGCTAAAACAATTAAGTCAGTGCCAGAACCTGACTGCACATCAAATTAAAGCAATTCGACAAATCTTCAGCAGTGGAAATACTTCATTTGGGTAGGACTTGTTTTTAGTTTGGGACAGTTTTCTGAAAAGAGATTATTTGTTACCTATTTTGGCTGGCCTTGGAATTACGCCTCCTTTTTGTGTGTATAAGTGAATGTCAATTACACCATTGCCTTGTCAGTTATGGTCCAAAGTTACAAAAACTATAAGTTTGCACACCAAAGGTTCCAGTACATTATTTCCTTCCTTCTTTGGTGTTCTTACTCACCTCTTGGCTTTTGTCTCTCTCTGACTAAGAGGCCTGGCCCCAGGCTATCTGTTTTAAGACAATACTGACACACAGCATTGCTTGGAAAATGTTTAAGTGTTTTGCCCAAGTCTTTGTTTGGTACTGCCTGGAAATGCCAGAGGTTGTCTTTGAACTCTAAATAGAACACCTGCTGTACAAAAAATGATGAATCTTGAACTTCTAGTAGTATTTTTTTAAAGATGCTCAGGTGGCTGGGTAAATACATTTTTGTTGCTTTGTTGCTACTTTGCATTGTTCTATATGCAACATTTTTTCAACTTTCAACTGGCTTAAGACCCTTAGGTTTCCTAGTGGATTTCTATTCAAGGACACCCAAGCTTAACAGAGGCACCTTTTAAAAGTCTTAGCTAAGGTTGAATAAATGCTGCCATCTTTTGTGGTATGATGGAAATTGCAGATTTTCAAATGTGAACTGTGTGGCATATTGTAGTAAACGAACCATTGTAAATGTTTCATTTAACATCAAATCATATTCTGTACAACTGTTCTTCTGCTATACCTTAGTACTTAATATCTTAGTAAGTTAATGCTAACCTGTTTAGCAATTTAACAATTCTTTTAAACTTCCTTTCAATTATATCTGATTCTCAGAGACTGCCTGGAGAAGGCCCTAAATTTTCTACATTAGTTTATTCAGAAGTAATTTGCCAACACAATCTTTAGAATCTGCCAGGAGAGAGTCACAAAAGCCAAGGCCCAGAATCAGCTAAGACTGGCAACTAATGCCAAAAATAACCCAAAACATTTATTTCAATATGTAAGGAACTCGAAGAAAGTCAAGGAAGCAATAGGTCCAGTAATGTAAGCAAGCAAGATACACAGGGAGAAAGCAGAACTTCTTTGCATCTGTTTTTATGCAAAAGGACAAAATAGCCCAACCTATCAAAAGCAGCACTAAGGGAGATAGAACAGGTACACAAGTCAAAATAAGCAAGGGCATGGTAAGAGTGCAAATCACTAGACCAGTTGGTTTGCAACCCAGGGCTCTGACAGACATAATCTTGGATCCACTCAGGGGTGGGATTCAAATTTTTTAACACCCAGTTCTGTGGCCTAGTTGGTGCATGTGGCTTGGTTGTCATGTGATTGGGTGGGCATGGCCAACTTGACATCACTCACATCAAGTGGCGCTTCTCCTCACCTGGCTTCTCTTGACTGTGGGAATGCTGCCATGGTCATAAGTGTGAAAAATGGTCATAAGTCACTTTTTTCAATGCCATTGTAACTTTAAATGATCCCTAAATGAACCGTTCTAAGTCAATGATTGCCTGGACAAAAATACAAAAAGCAGATTCTTTGCTTGTAAAAAGCTGCCTTAAATACCAATCATTAGATTAAAAAGACCTTGAGGAATCAAAATAGTTAAAATGCAATGATAACTATCAACAACCAACCCTTGCTCATAAAGTGAAACACTTTAGCAAAGAGGTCATCTAAGCTCTCCAGAAAGAGCACACCCAGGAGAAACAATCCTTAGATCCATTTGCACCTCTTAAAGACACCAACTGGTCTCACTCACCTTACAAGATATGCTAAGGAATCATCCAGATTTAAGGAAAAATTAAATGCTCCCCAGAAAGGCAGTAAAAAAATCAGTGCCAAGCTTGAATCCTGCCTCTTGGAAGTCCACTCCAAAAGGACAGTGCCAGATACCACTAAAGCAGTGAAGGAAGACCCCCTCCCCAGATAAAAAAAGAAACCATGAGGCAAGAAAAAAATTCAAACACAATACAAATAATTAAATCACAACAGTATCTGTTGCTTGTTAAACCAATTACCAGAACAAATAGACACAGGAACTAGCCAGATTTCTCAACCCAATTTCTTTTCAGGAACAGAAATTAACCTTTTTCCTTCTAAACAAAGCTGAATAGAGAAAATTATCCCATCAATAAACATAGGATTAAACATCACCAAGCTCAGAATTAAACTTCGCCAAAAAACAGTTTTAGACCAAAACTCAGAAAGGTTATGTAAACTCACGTTTGAATGTCAATCTTTCTAGCTAGCCAAGAAGTCTTGCTGAATGTCACTCATCTTTTAATGACAAGGGTCATTAAAAGCTTCTTTCCGGCAGCTCTGCTTCATTATTCAATTATTTCTTCAAAGTGCTGATTGTCCAGGGCAGAATTTCCTCCCAACAGCAGTGTAAAAAGCTTAAAACAATCCTTCCTCTTTAAGAAAGTCAAGCCCCAGAAGCTCCAGAGACAGGAAGTCTAGGTGTACTGACAAGAATGTAATAAGGGTTAACAGAGGCAGTTTCTGTAAGCAACAACACTAGAATGTTTCCTTCCTGCCTTCCTTACAGGATTAGTCCTATAAAATGGGGGGAAAAAACAAAAGGAGATTTCTTCCAACAACCAATTCTGATTAGAAAATTAACAACAGGTTCTAGTGAATAGGAGAGAACTGGTAGAATCCCACCTCTGGAGCCACTGAATTTAATCTTTCAAAGCTCTTGTAGAACAGGGGAACTACCAGAGGACTGGAAAACAACTGATGTGGTACAAATCTTCAAAAAGGGAAAAATGGATCCAGGAAATTATAGGTCAATCAGATTGACATCAATGATTCAAAATTCTGAAAAAGGTAATGAAGAGGATTTGTCAGCACGTAGAAATGAACAAGGTGATTACTAGGAACTAGCATGAGTTTATTAAAAATATATCATGCCAAAGAAACCTTTTGTTTTTCTTTGATAAATTGACCAAATTACTAAACCAGTAAAAGGTTATCTCTTGGGCCCAGTAATCTTCAACATCTTCAGAAATGATCTAGATGAGGAGATAGAAAGGGATTCATGAAATCTGCAGATGACATCAAGTTGAGAGAAATTGCTAACACTTTTGAAAGCTAGGCTCAAGATTCAGAAGGATTTTGACAGACTTTAGCATTGGGTTCTGTCTAACAAGATGCAGTTCAGCAGTGAGTATTCTACAGTATGTTTGATTGCCTCCTACCTAGGACTGAGAGAAAGTGATTGGTCCAAGGTCTCACCCAGCTGACTTTGGGCTCGAGACAGTACTAGAACTCCCATCCTCCAGTTCCTAGCTTGATACCTTCACTATTGCTATACACTAGACTGGCTCTCTTTGTTTTGGTATTGCACAAATTCAGCCTGCTTAGTCAGACTTTAGTTCAATGCCCTTGAAAAGCCCAATCTGGGTTCATTTCATAATCTTGTTAGTTGTGTTTGGGGAATGCTACCAAATGAACTTGCTATTTCATTCAGACATGGCTTGTTAATATCACTTTTCTCCTAGGCCTCCTTCTACATGGACATCTTCTGTTCTGGATCAACTGAGTCAACTGATCCTAATCCTGGATCACAGTATTCTGCAAAGTATTCCTAAGGTACATTAGAAAAAAAACCAAACAGAAGAATGATCACTTTTCCACCAAGAGAAAGGAAGTAAAAAACAAACAAACCCAAAATGAGCCTAGAGGTAGAATCAGGTATCTATGACTGAGCTACAAATCTGATCATCTTTTGAATCTGAATTGCACCATTTTCAATAGAAAACTATGAATGTCAACTTCAAGGAAAGATCTTTTGTCACAGGCTGACAAATGATAAACCAACAATCTCAAAATTAATAGTATTAAAATTAGAATTAGAAATAAAATTTAATTGAAACTTCCAGTGGCAAGGCAAGGATGAGCAGAGGTGCAGAAGCCCATTCGCGGTTTCAGCTAATCTCTTCTTGCAGTTGGCAAGATCCTTTGAGGGTGCTCGAGTCCTGAAGAGATTCGTGCTGGTGTGGGGAAGCCTCGGGCTGCAGTGTGGGGAAGGCAACCCCCCTGCAGCAAAGAGGAAGCCCTCTAGAGCCCAACAAGCAAGAACAGCCTCCTATTAATGGTGGCTCCGAAGTCCGGATTGCCACCGATGTAAAGAAATAAGTGAGTGACAGTTTGTGAGATCGTTTGGGAAGAGAGTGGTAGAGAAAAATAGCAGTGGAGAGGAGGATTGGAAAGTTAAGTGTTACAAGTGTCTGTCTGGAGCCCTAAAAGAAAGCGGCTAAAAGTGAAGCCGAGACAAGTGAAAGTGAACGGGCTAGGCAGACAGAAGAGAAAGTGAGGTCAATAATGAATAAAAAGGGAAATCTATGAGATTGGGAGACCAGCACCTGGAAAGAGCCTGGAAGTCACGGAAGGTTCAGACTATTTCATTTGATTTCTATTTGGACAGACTTTATTAAACCGGAGACGGGAAGAAGACCGAAGTTGATGGGAAAAAAAACAGCATCACGCCATAGGCGGTACTTAGAAACGCTGAAGCGGTTGTAACAATATAACTGATTTAACTGATACAAACTACTTCACAGACTCTGGGAGAATACTGATCTATCTGGGGAGGCGGGGTTTTTTTTTGAAGAAAACCAGGACAATTGAACTTAGGAACGTTAAGATAGAAAGCAAAATTGGAAGCTTCTAAATGAGTGGGGATACTGCGTAACTGTAGTTATTATTCAGCTGCTGTATAATCAGAGAGGGAGATTTGGGGGAGGTCACCTCCTAATAAATCAGGTTTCGTCTCTCATAGCTAAGTCCACTTCCTCAGCCTGGCTGTCCTCAGAATCACTCAGCAATGCAGGCTCAAATTTCACTGCCAGATTCTCTTTGCTCGAGCTCACATCTGCCAATGGAACAGATTCCAATCCCGGAGTCACAACACCTCAATATACTACGATAGCTGGAACTATTGGTACAATTGGATTGACCAAAGATAGATTTTACACTATAAGGCAAAAGAGGATAGGATAAACCTATAGCAGTGATATATAGATATATGTAAAGATTAGGTGTGTGTATATGGCATAAACTAAGGGTTATGGGGGGAAAAAAGAGATCTTACAAACTGTGGAAGATGAGAATGTTTTTAATTGCTTTCTATTCTTTCTATTTTCTTTTCTTTCTTTTTTCTTTTTTTTCTTTCATTTGTGTATGTGTTGTTGGTTTGTTTTAATTGTAAAATTAATAAAATTTATTTATTAAAATTAATTAATTAAAATTCAATTATTTTAATTAATTTAAATTTTAATTAAAAATTTCATTAAAATGTAATTTAAGTAAAATTGAATTAGAAATAAAAGCAGAAGAAATAGATGAACTTTTTGCTAATTAGTAAACAAAGGTATATAGAAAATACACCTCAATATGTTTTATTAACTACCCTAACATCATGGGAGACAAACTCTGCATCATGTGGGTCAAACAAGTTCTTGACCAATCTAGGTGAGAACTTTGTTATTCAAAAGGAACAGGAGGGAAGTAGGAGGACAATGGGAGCAAAATCCTGCCTCTCTTTACCATAATCAGTATGAGATTTCTGAAACCTTGTACTTTCCAACACCTGGTGTTCTTTCTTTCTGCAGAATGTTTTAATGCCGTGGTTAGAAAACTCCATTCTCCATTCTGATCTGTCACAAAATCAGCTGGTCCATATTAGGGAAAGCCTTAAATCCTCCAGAACAAAGCGTGGGATCGGTATGTAAAATGTGGAGTTGCTTCCTAATAGGGTGTCGGAACTGGTTCTCATACCGCAGCAGCAGATTGTTGGCAGAAGGCAGACTTAAGATTGCATCTGGAAGGGGCAGATGAGATGAAAAAAACAAGATAGTGTCTCTGGCTGTGCGCTTGAATCCACACCCCTTTTTCTGTGAGGGGTGGGGCTCCAGTCATGTGATCCTGATCACCATCTTAATATTTTTAACTGTCCTGTGAATCCCACTGAAGTACATTCATTTTTTATATTGCAAGGAATCATTTTTATTTGTTTGTTTGTTTGTTTTGAATAATGTGGTGGCCTACAGAGGGAGCTCTTGCCTCGCAATCAATAGGCTGTGAGTTGGATCCTAGGTAGTGGCAGATATTTTTCTCTCCAAGCGCAAAGAGAAAATATCTGCTGCAAACTCTGCATAGGTATTAGGAAGGGCATCCAGCCAGTAAACACTCAGCTGCATTCAGTGGCCCCACCCCAATGCAAGGGATTAAAGGCGTTAAAGGTCTTTGTTTATTTGTATCCCACCAGTAAATGCTCAGCTCCATCCAGTCACCCAGACTTCCCCGAATTAAGGATTACAGGGTCACAAAAAGAAAGGGTTTTTAATTGTATCCTGCCTTTATTATTTTTACAAATAACTCAAAGTGGCAAAAATATCCAGCACAGCTTCCTCTTATTTTTCCCACACAACAAGTCTGTGAGGTGGATTGGCCTGAGGGAGAGGGACTGAAGATCACCCATATTTTTCCATGGCTGAGGCAGGACTTGAACTCACCATCCCCAGTTTTCTAGCCTGATGCCTTAAACACTAGGTTATGGTTTCATGGACACACACCTGCCCTCCATCTGAAATCCAGAAGAGCATATTGTAATATGTTGGGTGAGAGGAATGGTGTGCATTGTAATTTCAAAATTAAATATGACTGCCACCTAATTTTTTAAAGCATACCTCGCTCCAGATTCACAATGAATGGACTTCTCAGTTCATCTCTCTTTTTAACTCCATTTTGAGGAAGATTTCTAATTTGGATTTTCTTTTCCACTTAATCTTTTTTAATAAATATAAATGATCAATAGAAACATTTGCCAAGGTATTTAGAAAAACATGTAGGCTTTCCTACTTCCATTCACACAATCTGAAGAGACCTGAAAATTGTATAACCATGGCTAACTTGTGAGTTTTCTCTTAGCAACGTGCCCAACGGACAAAATCATCACAAAGGAGATACTAAATGATGACCTGATGGATGAGCTTCTATTTTATACTCCGATAGAATTGAAATTGTGCTTGACTAAGGAAAACCTAATGAACAATATTAGTGCATTCTCAGACTACCCTTTCACAGATGAACAGCTGCAAGCAGTCAAGGACAAACTGGATGAGGTAATAAACATATCATTTTTTTTAAAATGGTACTCTTAACTATTTATTCTTCATCTATTTATTGTTAAGATTTAAAAAGCTGCCCAACTTAAACAATGTTATTCAAAGGAAAAATTATACAAGTAAAAAAATCCAAATATAAATCCAAATATAAATATAAAAGGGCAGCCAAGCGACATGGTCATACAACCAAAAGGGTCCAATTGGCCCCTCATGAAGCCAGGTCTCCAAAGTTTTCCTAAAACAAGGAGAGTTTGGACCTGCCATATATCCCCATAAGGAGGATTTTTAAAAAGGTCCTATGAGGTGAGAGGGCCTAGGAGGACTCAACCAGTCCCTTCCCATCATCACTGGTTAGAACAAGTCTCAGAGACACCACACTTCCAATGTCCTCTACTTCCAATCCCCTTAGCTAATTCCGAATAGTATTGAAGGATAGCAACAGATCAAGGAGAGCTCGGATTAACACACAACTCCCATCCCTGACTTGCCACCAAGGCTTCTTCATACTGCACCAAGGTCTTGATCCTGGCCAGAAAGGGTCCAGATAACCCACATCCTCCAGGCTCTCTGAAGCAGGAGGCCAATCTCCTTCTGAACAATCTTTCCTAAAACTGTCTAGATCGGCTGGATCAAAAGATGGCCTCATGAGGAAGGGATACACTATTCACTCTCTCTCTCTCAGAACCAGCTCTGCCTTTCATTCTTGCAACAGGAGACCTGTAGTGCTTAGTGGGTCAGAAAAATGACAATAGCAGTCAAAAGTGTGATTGAAATTCCAACCTTTTTATATATGTCACAGCACATTCTAAAAGGAGCTGGGCTTCCAACTTAGCAGTCATGATTATCAACTTGACTTATTTTATGCCCATCCCATCATCCTGATGACTACTAGAAATCCTTTTGCAGAAACCTTTTCATTAGGCCATACCAGAACCAGCTCCTGGATAAATGTTTGCATCAAAGAGGTGAGTTAGAAATGCAAGTTAACTTGCATTTTTACGCAGTTATTTGCTCCTTGCAGATATTTCCTGAGGGATATCCTCCTGCTGTATTCAGTAATCTTGGACTCATTGAAAAACTAATAGATGAAAAGAAGATCAAGCAATGGACTATCAATTCAACAAGCACAGTTCATGCTTTATTGGATTCTGTGTCCGGTGATGAGCTGGTAATTATGAAGATAATACGGGGCTTTTAATATGAACATTATCATGCACCCAGTCTATCTTTGCTTCTAAACCTAGTGCTTATAAACTAACATCATTTTTTTAAAAAAGAGAAACAGATTATAAGTTCCTGGCCATTTTCCTCTCCTTGTTTCCACACATTGTGAGTGTTATATTCTTTTTTTTAAACAAGTTTTATTCAGTTTTTCACATGAATTACAAAACAAAAAAGCTCTTTTCAGTGGACAACATATTTCCGGGTCACCACTTTTAGATGCAAATATGACAATAGTTATATATTCATTTTTTACATTCAATCCTAGCTTATCCAATTTTTATTTAATTCTATTATTACCTTTTCCATTCCAACTTTTACAGAAGAGAAGAACAAACAAATTAATCCTGGTCTCTGATATTGATCTCAATCTAAACATCCTCTCATTTCATTTCAATTATTTCAAATATATTTCTTAAACATTAATATTTCTTTTAAAAATAAGAATAACAATATGCATTCGCCTAATAAAAATTATAAATGTCCCTCCTTCCTCTTAATAATCTATATTAGCTTATTAACTGACTAATTTATAATTACAAATACTTTTATTGTTACCTTTTCCAAAACACTCTTTTCTCATTTAAATAGTTCTTTTATCTGTCAGATTTGCAATTTCCATAAGTTCTAAATTAGTACAAGCTTTTACACAAGAAAAGAAACATAAGTCTCCCCCCCTTTTACTAATTTGAGTGTGTAACCTCAGTGGTTAAAATATACCCTAATTTCCTCATCTTAATTCCCCCAAAACATTTATTTTTAACTAATTATAATAATAATCATTCCCTTTAAAAAAACCTACATAACATTATATATCTTCAAGCAGATTCTGCAATGTATTTTCCGCATTTAATTTCACAGAATTTATTTATAGTTTCAAAACAAAGATAAGAAAAAGAAACAATTAGTCCATTTAACTAATCCTGGTCACTGATATTAATCTCATTTTTAAATATCCTCACAATTCATTTCAATTATTTCAATTTATTTAATAAACATTAACATTTCTTTTAAAGGTAAAAATATACATTCAGCTAGTAAAGAATATCAGTGTCCATCCCTCCTTTGATCATCTATATTTCCCTATTTTCTAAATATTTTATAATTGCAAATATATTCTTATTAACCCTCATCTCCATGCAGAATCCCCTTTTTTAAATTCATTAACCATTATCTCTATGTAAACAGTTTCTTTTCATTATTTTACAATTCCCATATTTCTTTATTTCCTACTCCTGTTTCTCATTAACTCTCTTCCCCTTCATTTTCTCATATCTTTTCCCCTTCCAGTTTGTGTCCCTCTCCCTCTTTGTATCTTCTTTTTCCCTTTTCTGCTGCTCCTTTCTGCCTTTCCTATTTTCACAGGTATTCCCCTTTTTAGTTACCTTCTTGAGTCTTAAATTTTTAACCTCCTTTCTTTTTCCTCTTCTTTGTGGTGTTCTTTGTGTTAATTGTCTATTTAAGATGGCTTCTTCTTGAACTAACTCCTCCTTCTCTGAAGTTCTTTCTTCATGTTCTTCAATCACCATTTCCATAGCTTTTAAAACAGAGCCAAGTGATTTATTTCTTTCCTGTAGTAATTCTTTCATATTACTAAGTTCCATTTTTAGTTCCCAAAGAGCTATCATCATTGCACACTCTTACATCTTACAATTGTTGAAATCCACAAAAACTTTTATTTTCCTTCTTCAGGCTTTCTAGATTTGCAATTATTCCAACACTGGGTCTATACCAAAATCATGAATGAGTCCCGCAGTCAATTTTTTCTTATTTCTTCTTTTATTCTAGTTCAACTTTTGCTTTCTAGGATTCTTGTTTTATTGTTTCAATATTTCTTTAACATTGTATCAACTCAAGTTCGTAAAGAAACAGGATTTTCCCTTTTATTTTTAAATTTAAATTTTTGTCCACAAGATGGAACTCTCCATTATGTAAAGTCTTCACCTTTTTCCTGTTTTATTATTCAGGGCTTTTCGAGCTTCAATATTCCAATAGAATCAAATCTCCAGTTTGTATATTTGCCCCCCCCCCTTATTATTATTATTTTTTGACACTCTTAAGTCCAGGTTTAATTTATGCCTGTTTGTTGCCTAAATCTTTTAATCCAATTTAGTTAAATATCTTATTCTGGCTTCTTCCTTTCCTGTTTTGAAGCCCCGTTTAGCTGTCAAAGTTATTTTTCTTTTTTTTGTTCTTTTCCTTTGTATTTCCGCCGCTTTCTTTTCTTATTTAGAAATTCATTGTTACATTAAACCCGGGGTACCTTTTATTTGGTTGTTGCACCCAATTGTCCCGGCTCACATGCTATCCACCTCTTTCTTCACTCCTTCACCAACTTAGTCCAGACATTTTAGACCACTGCTTCAGTCGTCTTTGGGGGGGGGGGGGAATTACCAAGCCCAGAGGGGGAGATGTGGCTCCCCTCAACCTGGCTGGCAGCTTCCCCTTTCTCCACTGCCCCCCCCGAGGCAGCTTCAGCCCCTAATCACAATGATTGGGGCTCTCTGATGAAAGAGCATGGGCTGTAGCCGCGGACGATCATGATCTATGGCCTGTCAGCGAGGAGGGCTCCGCTTAACCAAGTGTGTTATATTCTTGTCGTTTTACTTTAGGTGTCCTAGAATTTTCTAGGAAGTGTTCTTTTAGAAGAATACCAGGAGCCACAAAAGCTGGGTGGGCATGGCCAACTTGATGTCACTCACTCTCACCCAGTCCCATGACCCCCTAGCTATGCCTACCCAGCCACAAAACCCTTCTCTCTCTCCCCCCTCCCCCTTTCTCTGTATCTCTCTTCCCCTCTCCCTCTCTATTTCCCATCCTCCCCCCTCTCTGTATCTCTTTCTCAGTATCTCTCTCTCTCCCTATCTCCCCCCTCTCTCCCCCCCCTCTCTTATTCCTTTTTTAAAATCTGGGCTGGCCAGAGCCATGGCAGAGGCTTCCCTTTGGAGGACCCTCCTCCCCCCTCCTTCTCCTCTCGTGGCACCCCTGGCCTGCATGGGGCAGGCAACCGCTCGCTTAAGGAGGATCTCCCCACATGTACATACCCTCCTGGCTTTGCCAGCTAGGAGTCATGAGAGGAGGAGGAGGGTCATGCGAAGGGAAGCCTCCACCATGGCTGTCACTTGTTCCTCAGCCAGGAGAGAGAGAGGGAGGGAAGGGGAGGGAGGGAAGGAGGGGGAGAGAAAAAGAGTGAGCTGGTAAGGTTCAGTGGGGCCAGCTCCCTTTACCCGCTGCCTTGAATTTCTTAAAGCCGTGGCTGGGCACTGCAGGCCCATCCCCTTTCCATCGTCCCCTCCCCCCCAGATCTCATTCCCACCCCACCAGCCCTCATGTTAGCGAAGCTGGCATTGATCGTGGTCAGGCCAGTGTTTCAAGGCAGAGAGCAGGTTGCGCATCTCCCCAAGTGACCAAGGCACACCCAACACCATCAAGGGCCAGAAGAAGCTCTAGCAAGAATGAGGCGCTGGAGAATCAGCCCCGGCCACTTCTCCATCCCCCACTGTCACCCTTAACTTCTCAGGCCAGGCAAGGGAGGCAAGGGTGAGGGCAGGACTAGCCGGTGATGGGACAGGGAGCCACAGCAGAGGGCCCAAAGAGCTGCAGGTTGCTGACACCCGATCTAGTCACTACAGTTCTATGAATTATAATGTTCAGAGTTCTTAGACATGCCTCTGGAACTCAGCACACACAACACACATACACACACCCACACCCACAAACATTTGCTATTTCAACTTGTATGTGCAGTTGAAAAACAGCAACCCTTCCAGATATATGAAGCCAAGTTGCCACTCTTCAGGTCTGTTGGTACTATAATTTCCAGCAATCCAGTGTATTCCCAAATTTTAGAAGTGGCTGTTTTAACACTTTTGGAAGGTATAGGTTTGGGAAAGCTAAAGCGACATAAGATTGCAAGTGGCTTGCTTTCGACTCTGGAATTATTTGTTTTAGAGAATTGCAGTTATTCAGCGTTATATTGAATTGAGAAAGCAAATTAATAGCAATTTTCTGGATGTGCTCGGGCCATACATCTGTCTCCTGAATGAGGACCAGCTCAGCATGATAACTGAAAAGAGCATTGAGTGAGTGAATTCTTTTAACATCTATTTATTTATCTATTTCTTTGTATCCCACCTTTATTATTTTTACAATTAACCCAAGGCAGCAAATATTTCCAACATAACTTCCTTCTAATTTTCCCACAACAACAACCCTGTGAGGTGGGTTGGGTTGAGAGGAAGTGACTAGTCCAATGTCATCCAGCTGGCTATAAAGGACTGTAGAACGATATATAAGTCTAAGCACTATTGCTATATCTTATTGATGAAGCCCGAGCTATACAGATGAGGAAGAGCCCATCCCAAAGAAAGTCAAAATTAAGCTGAATATCTGATGTTGCTCCTTTCAGCTAGTTTTTCTGGTCAGTAGCTTAGGTGTTACTAAAAGCATTATTTTGAAAATCCTGTGGAGAAGTGAAATTGAGGCAAGAAGGAAGTATTGTGAGAGCTGGATCCCTTCCTTTTCCTTACCTTGCCTTTTCTTGGCAGGATGGCCACTCTCCTTGACCCATCCAATTGCTCCTCAGCCATCAAGGATCATCTCTATCCCAAAGCCAAGCGGGCCTTTTCAGATCGTCACTATGAATACAGTGAATATTATAAACGGATCAGGCCATTTCTAGGTAAGCAGAAACATTGACTGAGGAAAGTCCAATTGAGGTTTAGATCTTGTTGAACAACAATTTGAAATCAAGTCTTGAATTGCCTTTAAACTCCATCTGTGTAAACAATATAGTCCCCAGATTGGGGAGGGAGTATGTATGAAAACATTTGAATGAATGGATGAATCTAAGTTAGTAAGGCCATGTTTAGCTTAATATGACACATACAAAGGTAAGGCTAGGCTAAAACTGTGTCAAGTAGTTTGTGGTTCACAGAATTTTCTGAGAAAAAGCCATTGTCCTTATAGATTGGGTGAACTGAGTAATTAGATTAAGTCATGACTTGGGTTGCTCCTGAACATAGCCACTAAGCCTTAGAGTTGTGCATGCTATATGAATTACATCTAATTGAAGATGTTACATTTTTATTTATTTGTTAAATTTATTTGCTACATATCTTGTTGTGTGGCTACTCTAGGTGGCTTACAACCAGAGGTGGGATTCAAACTGGTTCTCACTGGTTCAAGGGAACCGAGTGTTAACTTTTTGCAAAGTTTGGAGAATTGGCTGATTGCACCACTGGCTGGTCCCACCCCCCCCCAGCCACTCCTTATCTCACCTCACTTGCCTAGAATCATGCCCTGCAGCCCAGCTGTTCTCTCCTTTTTGGCCTATGATGAAGTAAAAAGACCCTGATTTTCACACAGGGTAAGGGTAAGAGAAGGTGTCATGCCCCTGTTGGAGTCTGATTCTGAGGGGGAGATGGAACAGCTGACAGGGAGTGGAGTGCAAAGCGTGCATCCTTGCCTGCTGTAGTAATAATAAGTCTTTATTGATTAGCCCTTGGGCCACATCAAAGTACAAAGCTCCAGCAACAATTTGTTACTAAAATTTAATAAAAGCAATTCAAAATGAAATTTGATAAAATACAATTTAAAATGGAATCTAGACAAAATATGATTTAAGATGTAATAGTAATAAAATACAATCCAAAATAAAATTGTAACAATGTAATGTACAATAATTTAAGGCATAGATAAAATATAATAACATATTTCGGAGTCACCCTTGCAATCTCCCCCAATTAATCCCACATATGCAGATCTCAACCGAATCGTTTTGTTTAAATACTGTGCTACTTTAAATGTTATTTTCAAGTTCTGGCCGGACATAAGGTAAGTTATTTTGATATGGGTATCCCAATGGGTCATTCGTCTGATATATAGACCAAGATACCTATCTCTCATCCTCTTATACAGGCAACAGCCAAAGAAGATGTGAGCCAGGTCCTCTACCTCTGCCACTCTGCAAATGCAGAGACTCTCATTGTACAGTATTGCATAACATCTCCCGTATCTAACCATTGTGTCAAGCTGTTCAAATCTCGCTTTCGTGACTATCTCCCTAAGATGTTTTGGGAGTTGTGACTTCAAGTAGCCATCTACTTGGAAAGTACATTTGTATTCACTCAACCATTTCAAGTTACCTACCTTACTAAGGATAGCTATATCAGTTTGTGCATCTACGTCCTTAATTCTTTGGGCAACTCTTTTTAGATTGTTCTCCTGTTCCACAAAAGATAGGAAGACCACAGCTTCTTATAAAATTTGTTAGTTTAATGATCCAGAAGATTTGTGATTGTAGTTTTATTTGCTCTAGTAGGCATAATTTGGGTAGTCTATCAGTCTCCATTTCATTAACTTTGCACCAGGAGTTACAAGCTCTAATTTTAGATAATGCCTGAATTGTATAAATTCCCAGTTCAGCTCTAACTGCTGCAGCAGATGTTCTTGGGTCTACACCCAAAATACATCTCAAATGCTGGGACTGTGCTTCTTCTAAGACTGTGGTTGAGTAAAGACGCCAAATTTCTGCTCCATACAAGAGCATTGTGGTAACTTTAGCCTTATAAACCTTGATTAATGGGACTAGGGACCCTGGATAACTATGGTTTTTTAGTTTGAGCAATAAATTCAAACAGGCTTTTGCTCTAAATGTACTCCGTTGATGATGGCAGGCCCAAGATCCAGTCTTGGAAAAAGTTACGCCCAAATATACAAGGGAATTAACCTGTCAATTGGTTCACCATCCAATTGCCACCTATGTCTCTGATGGTTTCTTCCAAACACCATTATTTTTTATTTAGATTTACTAATGATTAGAGAGTTACCCTGGCAATAATAGCTAAATCTTCTTAATAGCCTATGTAATCCTACTTGTGTGTATGATAATAAAATCATATCATCAGCATAAAGCAAGCTGTTACAGTAAATATTTAAGATCATCAGCATGTATACCATGGTATCCTTGCCTGCCGTAGTAATTCCTTCAGTGTGATGTGTTAGGTTTTTTATTTTGAATTAACTTTACTTTGGGTGTGGACTGCATTTAGTCCCTCTGTAAGCTATTTTTTTTAAAGAGTTTGATATCCAGCCGAGGATAATTGGACATTGGGGCCAAGTTGGAGACATTATAAAGGGACTGACTGTCTTCTATTTTTGTGACTTGGTTAATTTGTGTCACACCCCAAGTCATCACAGAAGGTTTTTTCGATGCCGGAGCATTGCTTGGGTGCACCCCTTGCCACCCATTTCTCTGGGGGGAGGGAGAGAGGCAATCTCAGCTGCCTGGATCATCAGAGCAAACGTCCATTTAAGCAAGCATCCATTGGTGCTGGCGCTTGGATCGCCTGCCTCCTCCATGCCTCTGCCTCTACCTTCTGCTGTTGCCACTGGGCAAGCCTCTCATGATCCCCCCATGAGAAAAAAGAGGGAAAAAGTGAATCAGCTGGCCGCGGAGATGCCTGCTTTGGGAAGTGGCCTAACAAACAGAAGCCCTGTGCCCAGAATGAGACAGGCAAAAATCATTTTACACTAAGGGAGGGGCCAAACAAGCACAGGGCATTTGGATTGCCTGCCTGCTGATCTTGGCCGGTGGTGGTGCTGGACACATGGCTTTTGTTTGTTGGCTTTGGGACAGCACTCAGACTGGCCAGCCAAGGACAGCGCCTTCTAGTGCCCTGGCAAAGGCAAAGTAGAAGCAGGTGGGGGCCATGTGGAGCTCCTCTGGTGGCCTCCCCAGCCCTGGCACTGCTCGGGAGTGGTTTCACAGGGGGTTGTGCGATGGCCATCTGCAGGTGAAGGTCTCAGAGTCTGCTCACCGGGCACGGTTGAAATCTGACTATCATTCCAACCAGCCATTCCTTTGTTTTTACTTTCACACTCACACACACACACAAACCTGCTTTCTGGCTCTGTTCTGCATGTGCAA